TCAGTTGTTATTCACCATTTTAAGGAATCCAAGAAGGAACAACGTTCAGTTGTTATTCACCATTTTAAGGAATCCAAGAAGGAACAACGTTCAGTTGTTATTCACCATTTTAAGGAATCCAAGAAGGAACAACGTTCAGTTGTTATTCACCATTCTAAGGAATCCAATAAGGAACAACATCCAGTTGTTATTCACCATTCTAAGGAATCCAAGAAGGAACAACGTTCAGTTGTTATTCACCATTCTAAGGAATCCAAGAAGGAACAACGTTCAGTTGTTATTCACCATTCTAAGGAATCCAAGAAGGAACAACGTTCAGTTGTTATTCACCATTCTAAGGAATCCAAGAAGGAACAACGTTCAGTTGTTATTCACCATTCTAAAGAATCCAAGAAGGAACAACGTTCAGCTGTTATTCACCATTCTAAGGAATCCAAGAAGGAACAACGTTCAGTTGTTATTCACCATTCTAAGGAATCCAAGAAGGAACAACGTTCAGTTGTTATTCACCATTCTAAGGAATCCAAGAAGGAACAACGTTCAGTTGTTATTCACCATTCTGAGGAATCCAAGAAGGGAAAACGTTCAGTTGTTATTCACCATTCTAAGGAATCCAAGAAGGGAAAACGTTCAGTTGTTATTCACCATTCTAAGGAATCCAAAACTATTTTCGATGTGACAAAGAAGTTTATCATATCAGAACAACACATTTCTTTACTTTTAAACTACCATCAGTGTTGAAAAACAAGTCTAATATGGTTTATTAGGTCACCTTACACATTTTCTATTCTTCACTGTCAAAAGATTGGGATCTAAGCACCACCAAAGACATGTTTCCTATTTGAATTTGAGAAAAGCAGTGTTCTGACTGGTGTTTGATTGCCATATGACATATTGCTATTATGTCCTTTGTATATTACAGTTGGAGATAGTTTAATTCTGATTACTTTTAATTTAATCATTAACATTTTATTGTCTGTTGCACTTAACAAGCTTGTCCAGCCATTTTGTTTCTTTGGATGAGTTATCAGTGGTTAACAGCCACATTT